TCAGGTGAAAGCCCTCTTTTGGGTCATAGATTTCTTATTTTATCCTCAGATGGCAGAAAAGAAACAGGGTCTCTCTGGATCCTCTTTTCTAAAGGCACTATACCATTCATGATGGCTCTGCTTTCATAACCTAATCACCTCAAAAGTCCCCACCTCTAAAAGTCTCCACCTCCTGGTACCATCACCCGAGTAGTTTTATTTCAACATATTTTGAAGGGATGCAAACATTGAGACTGTAGCAGTTGAGAATTACCTACATTGAGTTTAATACTAGGGTGTGAATAAATCCTAAATCAGTCTCTACTAATTAGTAAAGAAGGCACCTTAGCCCCTATGGCCACTACAAGGTCAGAGAATTTACACAGCTCTGAGTTAGAGACATGACCTGCCAACACCAGTTTCTTCTTTGACCCATGTCACAAGTAATTAATTTATGTACGATAGAGTTAGACTGGATTCTTTGTTGTCAAGACTGGTAGGTACTCAAGAACTCTGGGTACACGTGGTGAAAAATCAGAGCAGTAAGGTGATGGGTAAGAGTTTGTATTTCTGAATTATCTGCTGCTATCAGCTGGTAGAGGCTTTGGTGTTATATTCAGGGGATTTCTTGGGAGTTACAGTCTTTGCATCCCAAGTGATGTCAAGAGATAGCCTAGTTACATCTTTATATAGGAAAATATGATGTAAAGAATGGTATGACAATTTAATTAATGAAGAAATTATTGCTGTTCTATCATATTGTCTATAATGTAATAGTGATTCATGTATGTATGTAGTAATAATTACATTGTACATATTACAATAGCATTAGAGAAGGCAGACTTGACATGGACATTGAAACATAATGTAGTAGATAACTGAACTTTTGTTTTGAGATTTACTGTATTTGTTTGTTTGTTTGTTGGCTATAGAATCCAAAAATCCTGGTTTGGGAGGAAAACCATAGCGTGTGTCTTGTACCTGACTTCTCATTATGGAAGCCGAAAGAACTGACTTCCATTTTAAGGAAGCTAAGGAGATACAGACATATAACTTGGGCTTAGCTCATCAAATTTTTCCAACCAAAGATTTGAATCTTGAAGAACTAAGGCAAACAATACAGGCAGAATGGAGAGATTCTTCATGGTGGTGTCACAAACATTGAGAGCTCAGTGCACACTTGAAATTATCAGTGCCTTAATCCGTACCATTGCATGAGGCTGTCATCGCAGTTGTCCGGCCCTTCTGTGTTCCCACCCATTGCCTTATTTACTAGACTTCACCTTTCTGCTATTCTCTGTAACCTTTCACATAAGGTCTATTTGTGCTTCAGTGTGCCAAATTCAGTTTCTATTGCTTGCAAAAAAGAACTCTAACTTGAATGGAGGGGGAATAGACAGGAAGTGAGAAGATATGTCAGGTAAGTGGAGTGATGAACAAAGATATGAAATGACATAATATGTCTAGAAAATTCTAATGAAACTGCAGGAACTGGATGGGAGAAAAGACAAAGTATTCAGATGACAGTAAGGACAGTTCTAGGACTAGAGCAAACAATACATATCAGAAAGTAGGATTATATAATAATGAGTAAGTAACCTCTTAGTCTTTTATTCTTTTATCCCCTGAATAAATTGTTTGTTGCATTCTTGTTATGTCAACAACTTTTGCTGACTCTGAACATATAAAAAGGGCAAAATCCGTGCCATCAAGGAGACACTAATCTTTTACAGTGCAGTAGGGAATTTCAGGACACAATTCCTTTTTTGCTTTAATTTAAACATTTAGGTAACTTTCTCTCTCATGACAATTATTGTCACCAATTTACCAATTTTAAAAATTGACAGAAATAGAAATTCTAAAGTAAGATTTCAGTATTATAGAATCCTAATAAATCAAAGTAAAAGAGTACCAGTCCTGAGGGCCTAGTTTTTTTCCTGCATTTTTTGAAATAATCATTATTCCTGACTCTAATATGTTTATGGAAGTTATTAATAAATATTCTGATGTTGAATGAAAGAAAGGGTATTTTATTTTATATCAGTGTATGCCTACTTCTTAAAAACTGTTTGATTATGCCTGCCAGCATAAATAAATTAGGGTAAATAGATTCTCATTGAATGATTTTTTTCTAACCATCAGATTCAATGCAAAATGGTATTTATAAATTGGATTGGGATTGCATCTAATGCTCCATCCTATAACTCTGACTGTTCTGTTGGTCCCTTCCTAATGGCAAGAAATATTGAAATATCACTAACAGAGACAATGTCGTCATTGTCCAAAGTGTTTTTGTGTGGATTTCTTGATTATTGGGAGGTATGGGAATGATGTTTTGTTGTAATGATCACAAATATTTTTACACACTAAATCCTGACATTTTTCAAATATAGGATGGCTATAATTTGTGGCAAATTCAACTGTCTATTTTTTACATGTATTTCAACTAAAAACTAGCACTGAAGGAATATGCCATTCATCTAATAGAGGGATTCCCAGAAGGAAAAAAGTGGGAGCTGCATATAAATTGATTTTATGTAGTAAATGGACATTTCAAATATGTTACATCAGGGTGGTCACTGAGCTCCCAAAGGGGAGAAAAAAAAAAATCCAAACAGGGAAGAATGGGGAAAAAATACAAATTTTGTTCATCGAATTCTTGTTGAGAACTGTTCTAATGCATTAAACTAATAGTAGCCTTTGTGTTCTCCTAATTACTTATTATAATAGTCTCTACCCCACAAGATCCTTGGGGTTGATCTTGTCTTACTACTAGCAAAACCGTTTCCATTTCTTTTTTGGCATTAGCAATAAAGATCCTTCTCCTTATTTCCCAGGCCCGTGGATAAAATAATCAATAAAGTCAAATTCATTCCACTCAATATCCAAATAGGGTTTTTTATGGATCTTGGCTGAATCATCCTAAAGTTTATATGAAAGAACAAACAGCCAAGAGTAATTAAGGCAATTTTTTTAAATAAAGATTTTTATTTGTTTATTTGACAGACAGAGATCACAAGTAGGCAGAGAGGCAGGCAGAGAGAGGAGGAAGCAGGCTCCCCGCTGAGCAGAGAGCCCTATTTGGGGCTTGATCCCAGCAGAAAGGCAGAGGTTTTAACCCACTGAGCCACCCAGGCGCCCCTAATTAAGGAAATTTTAGAGAAGAATCATAAGAGGGGCGCCTGGGTGGCTCAGTGGGTTAAGCCTCTGCCTTTGGCTCACATCATGATCTCAGGGTCCTGGGATTGAGCCCCAAATTGGGCTCTCTGGTCAGCAGGGAGCCTGCTTCCCCCTCTCTCTCTGCCTGCCTCTCTGCCTACTTAGGATCTCACTCTCTGTCAAATAAATAAATAAAATCTTAAAAAAAAAGAATCATAAGAAAGAGGGTCTTGCTGAATTTTTCAATATGCAGAGTTGAGTGCATATAACCAACAAGAGAAGTACTTAAACTTTAAAAATATATAAAGGTTATCTATAAATTAATTTCCAAAAACAACAAAGCCTATAACATACTCATTATTTTATTTATACTTTTCTGTGTGTAAAAATATTTCATAATTAAACTTTAAAGCTTTTAGAAAATAAACAAGAATATCCTATGGTTTCAGGTTTGAAGACTGTTACAAACAAGAAAGCAAAATGGATGAAATTATAATGTAAAAATTTGTTACAACTAGCAGTACTTAAAATATACAGCTTTTGGTTATCAAAAGATACCATAGAAAGTTAAAGGACAATCCATAAACTAAAAGAAGCTATTTGAAACACATAACCAACAAGAGATAAGTATTTAAGCTTTAAAAATATATAAAGATCATCTACAAATTAATTTCCAAAAGCAACAAGCCTATAAAAAGTGAGTTAAAATTGAGAACAGGCATTGCACAGAAAACCAAATAGCCACTAAGCATTTATAAAGATACACAAGCTCATTGGCAAGGGGATTAATGTAAATTAAAGGAGCAAATTAAGAGTTGCTATTGGCAGACAAAAATTTTAAAATCTAACAATAACAGGTGTTATGGTGATGTGCCCGCCTATGTGAAATGTATCTGTGTATAGATGAATCTCAAAACACAAATGTGTAGTGAAGAAAAGAAATTGGAGGGGAAAATGCTGTGTGACTCATTATAAAAAATAAGGATAACATATTTTTAGGGAATCATACATATATAACTATGTTCAAAATGCAAGAAAATAAGTAATACAAAATTTAGCATAATGGTTATTTCTGTCTGGGAGCGAGATGGAGAAGACTTTTGAGAAGGCTTCAAAAATACTGGTATTCTCCATCTTCAGCTCCGTAGTGAGTACGAGGGTATTCTTTTTATTATTCTTTAAAATGTGCACATACAGGATACATTCATATATGCATATTTCACAACTAAAATTTCTACTAAAAATCTAGTGTGATTTTAAGGACGCCCTTACAAAATTGTTCACATCAGCAAGTTCTAGGCTGTGAGCCAGGATTTCCTTGTTACTATGTAACCAAACAAAACAATTCTCTTGGCTTCTCAGGCTGATGTAAAATGGAATCCTTCAGCAGAAACCCCTATTTCTAAAGTTCTTGTTCTTTATACCTGTCTCATTGTTCTCAATTATTTCTATAATCCACTACAAAGGTGATTTTATATATTTGCTAATTAAATGTCATCTTTATCAGGGCCTTCAAAAAAAGTTCCAGTTTTTTCAAAAAAGATAAAACTCGTCCTTAAAGAGTTTGAAAACAACCCGCGGACTCGAGTTAAAGCAACTTCGTAAAGCCTCCCATCAAAACCAGCTGTCCTTTTTAGTGAGAGCTTCCCAGAGGAACTTCAGAACAGTTTCTAAGAGAGGGGTGGGTCACCTCTAATCAGAGAGAGAGTCTGGGAGTCCCGCCAGAGTCGGCTCCGCCCCTTTTCTCTGCGCGGGACACCCGGGAAAACTCTCCCTTCCTTCATTCACGCCCCTCTTCACGCTCGCAGATAAAGGGAGCCCGGGCCCGTAAAGCCAGCGCCATGCCCCCTTCCAGAGTCCGGCGTCAGGCCCCGCCCACCGGAGGCTGCAGGAACGCTCTGCGCGCGCCTTTTGGGAGGCGGGGCTGGATGGGTTCGCTGCGGTGAGGCCGCAGGGTGTCGGCTTCCGCTCTCCCTCTGCTTTCAACCCCCACGGCTCTGGCTGAAGCCTCTGCCTGTGGCCGGAATCCCAGACCCTGGTGAGTAGCTGGAGAATTCAGGGCACCGCAGACGCCGCTGCGGCGAATTCGGAACCCACCTCCCAGCGCCTGCGCGCCTGTCCCCTAGCCAATGTGCTTGCAGCTTCTGCAGATGGCCTTTGACCCCGCGCCCCTTGGGCGGGCGAGAGGCGGCGAGCTGCGTTTTGGGGACCCGGGGGTCCCCCCACCCCCGTAACTGTTAGCTCTCTGGGTTAGTTTTACTGCTAGCTTTTAGAGAGCCTGCGGGCTTTGTGTCGGCAGCTTCTTCGCGGCGGAACCTCCCGTCGTCTCCTCAGTTTTCCCTCCTCTCCCCAGCAAGTTGGGAATTCCGGGAGTGACGGAAGACGTTCAGTGCCCCGTCCTTTTTGTATCCAAACTGTATTTGCGCCTTGAGTCTGCGGGGAGAGGCGGGAGGATCGAGGCCTCCAGCGCTTGGGTTGTCGCTGGAGGGTCGCGGCCGCCTGCCTCCCGGCGCCTTTGGGCCTCTGGCGAGGAGAGTAGGGATGGGGAAGCCACCCCAGAGATGGTTTTTCCCATTCATTTGTCAACGTGTTTGGCTCTATCAGCATTGACATTTATCTTTTGCTAAGTTTCAGGATACAGCTGTGCCGGACGAATTTCTTTTTCCATTCCACAGGAGCAAACTGAAATTCAGGCATTTGTGATGGTTTTCGTTTTATATATTGTTAAGACCCTATGGATGAATGTTAAGAGAAAACGGGGAACTATTTAAAGATGAGTAAAACAAGGGAGGATAATATAGGACTTCAAAAAAGACAAATAGGACGTGAATGAGTTGTTTATGTTAAAGTATTTTCAATAGTAGTTTAAGAGAAAAATACAAAATAAAATCCAGGTTGGTTAATACTGTCGCATTACAGAGTATTTTCATGACAATGTCGTTTTTCCTCTTTTTAGGCTATATGTAAACTTAGAAAAAAACAATGGGGCGCACTCTTGTAGACTTTGAGGCTCTGTGCATAAAACATTAACAGACTAATTTCTGGTAGTCACGTGATTAAATACTGTGTGTAAGATCGAAAATAAACTGTCCTCAGATTAAAGTTAAGTTGCAGTTTATGAGTAGGTAACAGATTTTCTAAGCCCATTCTATTTAAATGAAAACATGACACGTGTCAGCAGTTTTCATCTGCTTAAAAAAAAAAAAAAATATCTAAACCTAATTTGTGTGGTAGAGTTTTAGAGCCAAACTTGTTTTGCTTCTTGCTGGTGCTTAACCTCAGAGTGTTACTTAGCCTTTCACTAAGCCCTCTGAAAACTACCTCTGTTACATCTATCATCTGTAAAATGTTGTTAAAAAAAAGTTTTACTTATTAAGTTGTTTCAAAGACTAAAATGGAAGGATAAGATTATGTGGAACTGAATTTCCGTTAGCCAGAGGGTGTAAATGTTTACACTAAAACCACCTGAGCAAGGAAACCTTGGTATAGAAACTGATTTTGAAAGTTCCAGGTGTATCTTCTATTAATAGTTGTCTATCTGTAATGGCTTCTTAGAAAATAAAATTAGAAAACAATACTAAAAAACACTCTTAAGTCTGTATAATTTAGTAATAGGTAACTAAAAGGTGAAATCTTTTGACGTTTCTAACTGGATTGACAGCAGATACTTTCTGAAATAAGTTGATGTCACAATGCTCTGGATCTTTTAGACCTCTTAAGTCAAAAACTAGCATTTCGAAGATTAAAAGCATAAAACACAAAAGTAGAAACCATAGAGTTTCAAGAGAACCTATTAGGTATAACTTCTGTGTGTTATGTAATGTCAGCTGCCCTTTGAAGAAAACAGGTCTTCAATAGCCAATTCCTTGAGTAGGTTCCTATTTTGGGAATCCATACATCTGCAATTAACTTATAATTTTATTTTCTCAGGTGATTTCTGAATCTTCTTTTGTTGAAGACAAATAGTTTCTCCATTCCTTTCTTCTTAGATAATTAGAACTGCTAGCTTCTCAACAGTCATTATGGTTTTGCTATCTTGAAGATAATTTTTATTAAAATGAATTTTTAAAATTATTGGATGTTTCTTGCTATATAATATGTTCAGTATAGATTGTAAAAAGGTCAACCATCTGTATAGTCAGTAGAATCTATACATATACATACTGCCCAAATATATACTAATGTCAAAAACAAAAGGGCCTGAAATTAAATTGTTCAAGCTGAACACTTAATGGCCACTATGTATAAGATGTGTGGAGCTCTTCTGCAGTGTAAATACAAGAACTCCATTTTTTGACCTCAAGGAGCAATCCAGTAGTGGATCTAATGCATGTAAGTAAATAGCATAATGCAGTATGTAAAGAAATGCCACTTTAGTAAGTAGGCAAAGCTGTAACAATAGAATGTATGAGAAAATGAATACTTTTCACTCTGGAATCAATAGGGAAGGTATCAAGAAGAGGCAACATTCCAGCTTTGTCTTGAGGGATGAGTAGCATTTTAAAAGTTAGCCATGTAGAGAATAGACTTTTAGATAGAATTAACGATGTTATTAATTGCTTGCCAAATGCCCATCTTTAATAATCATCATAATATTCATTTTTATTCAATGTTACTCTAAACAGGAAATGATTCTAAAAGTTTTATAATAATTTATGCTCAAATATCTGTGAATTAGAAAATAACTCATTGTATAGATGAGAAAAGCAGAGAAAGATGAGGTCATTTGAATAGGCAAAATAGCTTTAAAAGGCACTGCCTTTAACCACAGTGCTCAGGCTTTAAGTTGCGGTGACTTACTGTTAATAGAGATGTGGAGCTTGGGATAGAGCCAGTGAATCATCTATAATGATGTAATAAGTGAACATTCTAAGTGAGTGAATTAAGTAATTAAAAAAGAGGGACCAACTTAAACTCCCATTTATAGGCAAGAGTGGGGTGGTGGGGCACTTGGGTGACTCAGCTGGTTAAGCAACTGCCTTTGGCTCAGGTCATGATCCTGGGATTTTGGATGAGTCCCTTATCAGGCTCCGGGCTCCATGGGGAGTCTGCTTCTCCCTCTGGCCATATCCCCAGCCCCCACTCATGCTCTCTCTAACTGTCCCTCTATCAAATAAATAAATTAAAATCTTAAAAAGCAAAGGTGGGGTGGCGGGACAAGGCAGTTTCTTCACCTTTATTTTTAAATCTAATTGATATTTACCATATGAATAAAATATTATCTTTTTACACTTTCATGTACATTATCTTGCATGATTCACAGAATAGCTTTGTCAGAAAACACAATAGGTAATATGTTCATTCGTTCTTTTTTTTAAAGAGGTAAACATGGCTGATTTGGGACTTTGGTTTTTAGATTGCAAGGCCAATATTTTGTTCTATATCTTGACTCTTCCACACATTTTAGCACTCACGCTCTCAAAAAGCAAGGTCTTTCTACTTTTTATATCCTATAGTCATTGCTCCTGTTCTCAGTGTCTTGACAATGTTCATTACTATTATTTCCTAAACTTTTCTTATGAAGTGTTACGTTCTAATTTTAGAAGGTAGAGTAGGAAAATAATCACTATATTTTATCACCTAGAGGCAATCATTTTACATGTGTTAGGGCTTTTCTTTGTGTATTTTTAATGTAGTTGAGATCTTGTTATATCCAGGATTCCTTTTTTTTTTTTTTTTCTTTTTCTATTTTTTACTTCACGGCTCGTCAAATTTCTTTTTCTTTAAGGGAAGGATTTGTTTTCATCTTGATATTTTGGAATTTTCAGGACAAGAAATGATAGAGGCAGGCCAAAATTGTTGTATCATCTCTTTATTCTTCTCTGTAGGGCTGCCACACTCCATACATTAGAATTTTACTCCCTGCAGTCCTGTATTACAGAGCTTGAAGGATGGTATTAATTGGCACTTCCCAGAAATGAGCATTAGGTTACCAGCTTATGTCCTCCAATTTGCTGGTAGGATTGGGATTGATTCTTTCTTTCTTTCTTTCTTTCTTTCTTTTTTGCTTTCTTTCTTTCTTGAATTTTCAAATTTATACTTCTAGAAATGTTTCAAAAACAGTACAAACAACTCAGTTACTGTTTATTTTTCTTGTATATTCACCAAATGGTAATATTTTACTATATTTGCTTTATCATTATACACATGTACACACGTTTTACATTATATATAGTTATATACATTACATGTAATATGTATGTGCATATGTATGAGTGTCTAATACATTGTCTGATGTTTCCTCATGTTTAGATCCAAGTTAAATTTTGACAAATACTATAGCAGTGATTCTGTTTCCTTCTTGGGTCGTCTTCAAAGTTCATTTTGATCACTTGTTTAAAGTGTTGTCTGATAGGTTTTGCACTGAGTTACTGTTGTTTCCTTTGTATTAATTAGGTGTCTTTTGGGGAGATTGTTTGGTAATATATGGGTATCCTGTTTCTCATCAAACTTTTATTTCCTCATTTAATATCCGTAGATGATTTTTGACTACTACGGTTGTTATGGTAGTTTCCAAATAGTGATATTCCATTAGTCCATCTAAATTTATTAGTTGGCATTCTAATATGAGTCTTCTTTATTCCTTTTATTTTTGCATTAAAAAGAAGTATGAAAAAATACCTGTATGGATTCATTAATTCTTATTTTAATACCTATTATTTATGACTCCTTCTGTTATTGCTGAAATTGTTCGGGATTTAGCCAGTGGTTGCCCCTTCAGGCTGGCTCCTGTATCCAGTGGACATGTCCCCGACACCTTCTGAGTACTTCTTACTTTCTGATAAGATGATCAAGGCTCATTTTGTACTTTCCCAGCCACAGTCTGGGAATCAGCATTTCTCTAAGGAACTTGGTTCTTCTAAGCAGAGAAGGATATTTAAAAACCAATATCTTGGACCAGATGTGTTCCTTGCTGCTGGGGTTTCTTTGATTCTATACTCTTAGTGTACAGAACTAGGAAATAATATGAATATATTAATGTGTATATACACACAAACACACCCCTGTTTACTGATAAAAGCCACACATTCATACAGA